GGGGAAGGTTGCATTTGTGAGGCTGAGTGGCCTAGCAGGGAGCTAGTCAAAGGAAACATGACTAAAAGAGAGCCAGCAAAGGAAAGGTACCCGTGTTGGTCTGAGAGACTCACACAAGACTTCCTAGACACAACAGCCTGTTGGTAGGCAGTTACATGAATGAGCCTTCACCCTGCTGTCCGGATATTCCAGTCACCTTTCACAGTCTTATGAATGCTCACTGCCTCTTTACCTCTGTGAAAAGCCATTGTAAGTTTTTAGAGCAGCAGCAGCCACAATTTGCAAGAGAAATAAAAGGTGAGCACAAAAGAGAAGACACGAGGAAGATGATGTGCACTGAGCACAGTCTAACATCAGCCAAGGCCACGGCTGCCCTCTGCTCTGGGCAAGGTGAGGGATTACTGAACATGGTGGTTTGAATTTGCAGCTTTCAGTTCTTTTCTATTAAATGTACTGTGCACTTTAACCTAACTTAAAATATATTTTAATATTTTTCTGTACTGCACAAATACCTGTTGTCAAATAGCATAATGATGTAAACAGAAAGTCATTTTGAACAAGGAGCATATTTAATATAAGCAACATTCAAAGGTTGATTATAGAAATAGGAGTTTTGATTGCTGCACCTTGATGGGCATTCAGATACAGGGTCCTGAAATAATTTTTTATGTGTATATATGGCAACATGAAACTCTGTAATCCTTGTTTTGAGAGATTTCTTTTTTAAGATTAAAATTGTTCTGTTGATATTAATTTTCAGTATTTTCTTGAAGTTGTCTATATAATACAAATGGCTTCTATATTTTGTAAAATGGCTTTCTTTCTTTTAAATGCAGCTCTTGTGTAGCTAAAAATATCTTTAAGATAGTTGTACACTGTTTATATGTGCAATAAAATGTGCATGGCCAGCTAACAGTACCATCAGTGGACAGAATGTACGTAGTGCAAATCGCCTTCCTTTTCTTATTTAACGGCCATTAAAACTTTGAATGTGAACAAACCATTTTCTGATTGACTTACCCATGTGATGCAAAGGTTGACATTGGTCACAAAAGAAATCTTTGGGGGTCATTGTTTAAAAAGTTTGTGACAATCCTCTAGTGCATGTTTGTGTGTGCATGTGTGTGTGTGTTATTTCCAAACTAAATCTTACCTGGAACCACAGAACATACAACAGTTAAAATAGAGTTAATATGGTGGGATAGGGGTGTCCCTCTACCTATCACTTGGGTGGTGGCTCCAGAAGTTTCTCTGAGAAAGCCTGAAGGTTCTGTGGAATCTGACACTGAGAGAGTAAAGTGGCTCATGGCTGGTATGGCTCAGTTGGTTGGAGTGTCGTCCCATATGCCCAAAGGTGGTGGGTTCAATCCCCATTGGGGTATATACAAGAGACAACCGTTCAATCTATGTTTTACTCTTCTTCTCTGTACCTTCTCTCTCTAAAAAATAAAAATAAAAAACAACAACAACCAGTAAACATATCCTCAGTGAGGATTTAATAAAAAAAAGAGAGAGCAAGTGGCTGCGTTGATTACACTTTCTGTAGATCTGGCCAGTGTTATTGTTTTCCCCCACGGCCAGCCTGCCTGTAATGGAAGAGCAGCTGCTTTGAAGAATTCAAGTCAAAATAATGACAGATTGTTTCTGTCTTCTTATCCCAACCCACATACAATAGACACAGACCTGAGACCAACAGCCTGAGCAAGAACTGCAGTGACCAGTGTCAGGTCCTCTACATTTAAGATTCATGTCCAGCTATGCCTGGCCCATGATGTTCTCATTGGAAATGCTGCTCTTGTGCCAAACTCTGAAACCTCAGTCATCTTGGTCTTCTGCACATCACAGAATTAAGGGCTTCACAAACACTTTGCATTGTAATTTGGCTGGAGCAACTGAGGAGTGTGTGAGGGCAAAAAGAAAGATGGCAGCAGGAGCCCTTGGGAGAGCCTTGCAGGAACATGCTTGCAATAAGTTCATCTATGCAGTTCAGCCCTATGGCATTGGCCACAGCTGGGAACTGTCCCAGAGACCGAGTTCTAGCCAACAGCTGTATCTGGAGGCTTCCCAGTTCTTGCTGGGTTGGCCTGGGAGACCCGGGCAACACTGACCCAGTAGAGCTGGTTCTCTAATCTTGCATCTTCCAGGAGGTCAGCTAGCAGAGATCAGGTCGCATTGAGTCTGGTATTATCTTCAGAATTGGTACTGCTTGAGTGTGGGGCATGTGTGTAAAGCAGGATTCTACCCTAAACCACTGTCTTTACTTCCCACATGCACATGCTGATGGGCCACCACAATGGCCAGTATTTTTGAGTGGCTAGTGTGGGTCAAGTATTTTTTTTCTGAATCATAAGCACCATTAAATCAAGGCTGATTGTCTATTTTGTTCTCAGCTAATTCTCTGTTAGCAAAAACAGTGCTTATGTAGTAGGCTTTGAAGAGATGCCAGGTAGGAGAATTAATGAATTTTACATACATTATCCCAGAAATTCTTACCAAAATGCTATATGGAAAGGATTTGTAGTAGACTATGGAGTTGCCCACCTAATACCATTTTCTTATAGGAAGTTAACCCTGCCTTATAGATCATGAAGTTTTTATGGTTCTTACCTGACACTGCTTACCTGGCTATTGTTTATTGGTTCAGGAGCAGCCACCTTACTCACAATTGACTAATAAGTCTCTTCCCAAAATGCTGTTTCTGACTAATTAGATCAGGCAAAGACCCAAAGACTCCAGAGACCCACCTCCGCCTGCACATTGACTGGATTCAGTCTTGAGTAGCCCCAAATAATCATCCACAGGTGGGGTGAGAGGTTTCCAAACAGAGTGGGGCAATTGCTTCTGCCTGGAGGCTTATTGGTATCCTCAGTCTCTTAACGGGCCTCAGAAACTTCACAGAGTGGGACCAGGGTTTTCCAATAAAGTGGGTCAACTGTCTTCCCCCCAGGCAAAAACTTCCTGAATAGCAAAGGTCTGCCTGAGAAAGATGATCTCCACAGCATGAGGGAATGACTCAGCACAGGAAATTGGCATCTACCTTCTGAGCTCTAACCCCAGAGCCCCCAACCCTGACTTATGTTTACACAGCTCCAGTCCACTCTGCCCTCCCTCTGCTGAATCCCAAGGTGAGTGGCTGCACTAAAAATTCTGTGCATTGGCCCTCTAAGAGGGTGTCTGCATTTCTAGCCGTCTCTCCCTGGAAGACAGTAACCCTGCTGCTTTTCACAGCCAGATGTTATGTGAGCACCTTTCTCAGTTCTGGTGCTCTCTCCTGGGGGCCATGCTTGGGGTTAGACCCTAGAGTTCTCAGTATCAACCCCCCAGAGATGAGATATCTCTCTGGAACTTCAGCTGCTGTCTGTGGGAAGCCCAGCCAGCCCTTTCGTGCCTCTGCACTTCCTACCAGTCTCTATGCAGTCTCCAATTTCCATCCTTGGTTCTCTCCAGCTAGTCTTCAGTTAATTATTCAGGATAGCGTTTTGTATTTTAGTTGTAATTCCAGTTTGGTCCTGAGAGCATGTCTGTGTAGAATCCATTTACTCTGCTGCCATTTTCCCTTTTACGTTTAATGGTGGCTTTACTGTACTGTGTTGTTTCTTAAAGGGATGTTTAAAAGGATTTTATATCTATCATAACCCAGGAAATCTGTCAATTCCTTTGCCTCCTTTTGATTTTTTGAAGCACACAAAACTAATATTAAGAGGTCATTTTTAGGTTATTTATTGTTTACTATAAAGTCACTGAGCTGGTTCCTTATAAATGTGTTTAATGGTGGCTTTACTGTACTGTGTTGTTTCTTAAAGGGATGTTTAAAAGGATTTTATATCTATCATAACCCAGGAAATCTGTCAATTCCTTTGCCTCCTTTTGATTTTTTGAAGCACACAAAACTAATATTAAGAGGTCATTTTTAGGTTATTTATTGTTTACTATAAAGTCACTGAGCCGGTTCCTTATAAATGTATTAGAGGGCCAATGCACGAAATTTGTGCAAGAATAGGCTTTCCTTCCCCCAGCTGCCGGCACTCCCTACCCAGGCTTCCCTCTGGCACCCGGGACCCAGGCTTCCCTCGCAGCCCTGGCTTCATCCGGAAGGATGTCTGGTCTAATTAGCATATTATGCTTTTATTATTATAGGTGAATCTTTAAGAGAAATTTTTTGGTGGGGGAAACATTTTACATTTAGGCATATATGAGGATTCATCCCTTTTCTGGCCAGTATTTGCAATACATAGCAGCTCAAATGTATTGGCTTCCTAAATATCTTCAATGGTCAATTCTTTATTGTAACTGAAGGCCTTTTTCTTTATTACAGTTATCCTTGGCTATATGTCAGCAATTATTTACTGAATATTTAAATGTTTTTGTGTTTACCCTGCAACTATTTTCTTCTAATGAGGTACCAAGTTGGCTATATTACAGTTCCTGGTTATTCAATCTAGATGTTGCTCTGAAGGGATTTTGCAGATATAAAATCTCTAATCAACTGATTTCAAATAAGGAAAATTATCTGGTTGTCCTCACTTAGAAGGTCTTGAAAGCAAGACTGAGGCTTTCTCAAGAGATAAGAAATTCTGCCTATGGACAACAGCTGCAGCCCTTGCCCATGGAGTTCCATCCTGCTTGTGACCTTCCCTTCCTGATGGCCTGCCTCGTGGGTTTCAGACTTGTGTAGTCAGAATCACGCAAGCAAATTCCTTGTAGAAAATCTCTCTCTCTCTCTCTCTCTCTCTCTCTCTCTCTCTCTTTCTCTCTCTCTCTCTCTCTATAT